CAAACTGGGGGGCCGCGGGGGGGGGGGGGTAGTGCGGGGAGGGGCAAATGTTGTACCGGGGGCAGGGTTCCGATGGCCTGTCACAGGCGCCCAGACCTCCCAGCGGAGCCCGAACTACCACGTGGTGATCACGGATCTCGCCTGACCCCCTGCACAGGGCAGGCCAGGACACTCTCCCGAATTAAGTCCTGTTTGAACTAGCACAGATCTCAGGGAAACTCCACGTCTTGATTCACTGCCAGAGACGGAGGGTCCCACCAGGAGCCCGGGGAAATCGTTCCGGGGGGAATTACCCACACGCTGCCTTACCCACGCTCCACCCACCTACACCAGCCGCCGAGACGGCCTGAGCCCGGGTCTACACGAGGGAGTTATTTCAAAGTAACCCCCCTTATTTTGAAATCATAAGTGGAGCGTCCACGCGACCAAACCCGTTCTTTCGAAATCAGGCTGATTATTTCGACATCGGTACCCCTGCTCCCCTCGGGGAATAAGCTCATTTCGAAACAGTCATTTTGGGAGTTATTATTTCAACAGTAGCTATTTCGAAATAATAGCTTAGTGCAGACGTGCCCTTGGCTAATGTTGTAGAAGAAAAAGGACGATTCAGGCTTAAGGTACCATGGGAGGCCTGAATTAAATTCCTGCCTCTGCTGCAAACATCCCTGGGCATGTCCCTTAGCCACTTCCGGGTCTCACTTCCCTGTCTATGCAACGGGAAGTGTGAGGAGATAGACGTTTACCTGCTCCCGTGGAGGCGCTCCGATAGGAGGGTGATTAGTGGGCATGGATTAGCTAGGACGCGGTGGGGACCAGATCCAAGAGTGTGAAATATTCCGTGTCACCGGGTCTTGCTCTCCATCAGCACGGCTGAGCCTCGAGATGGGACCTGTGCCCAGCGTTTGGAGCAGGATCCCCCAGAAAGATGTTTACTCTCCAAAAGTCCTTAATTCAATCTCAGCATCCAGGAAATGTTTCCATTCACCGTGAGAACTGGGGCTGGATTCTGCGGGCGGCTGCCAAGTGCTGGCAGGTCAGAGCTGCTTTTAACCCAGTCTTGGCACCGGCGTGACTCCGGGGAAGGGAGACCTGTGCCCAGCGTTTGGAGCAGGATCCCCCAGAAAGATGTTTACTCTCCAAAAGTCCTTAATTCAATCTCAGCATCCAGGAAATGTTTCCATTCACCGTGAGAACTGGGGCTGGATTCTGCGGGCGGCTGCCAAGTGCTGGCAGGTCAGAGCTGCTTTTAACCCAGTCTTGGCACCGGCGTGACTCCGGGGAAGGGAAGAGCAGCTCTGTGCACGCCGACTGCGCTCGCTAGAGTGCGGCGTGTCCTGCTGGGTCCCCGTGCCAGGGGCCGCCAGGGCC